GTACCACTGTACGGTTCCCAGTCCTCCACCCAGACACAGCTCACAAGCATTCTTGATCAGGAATGAGACCGCTTTGTCAATGTCGTTGAATCTCTCAAGGTCGTCTGGCAGCTGCGACTCTGGCCAGTTGCGCAGGACTTTGCTCAGCTCCTCGTACAGCTCATCTCGGTTCACAAACACTTCGTCCTTCCCAGGCAGGAGAAGCACATACACGTCCGGCGTTTCGTAAAGAATAAAACGACCACCACGCCTTGGCCTTGCCTCACAAGCGATGGCCGACCTTCGACGACAAGATACCGCCGCTGCTACGTGTCGTTCACCGGTACCTAGGGGCTGCTGCCACGATCCGGACGTCGACCGGCCGCCAATCCTACTGTCAGCAGATGCAGAGAATGCCGCACACTGTGCGGCGGCGCTCTCATCATCTCTGGGGAACCGCGACGGCGTGCGCAAGACTGCGCCGGATCCTTCCCCCCGATGTTGTTGTGGCTGGCCTGCCCTTGCATTCGTCGCGCTGGCCGCGGCCCCACAGGTTGCCACGTGGCTGGTCCTCAGTGAGGACGAAGTCGCTGCGATGGCCGCCATTAGCAAAATGCGCCTGCAATTCTGCGTGCGCAAGCCGGTCCTCGCACAAGTCGCCGTCAAAGTCACCCTCACGCTCGCCTGCCTACGAAGAGTCACCGATAACCGCTCGCGCGCACAGACGTACACACACGCGCAGGCGCAGGCGCAGGCGCAGGCGCGCGCACAGTCGACAACCGCACACCTGGAAGACTGCGGTTATGGCTGCTTGCTTGGGGACGCACGGCACGGCATATAGGCTTTCGGATGCGCGGCATCACACGCCGCGGAGGAGGGAGAAAGCTGCAAATTATGAATTCTCTTTCGGGTTTCTTGCGATTTTGTCTGTTGGGAGATTCGCGGAGTGTGTGTTGACGTCATCGTAGTAACGTCTTCGGACGGCGATGGCATCCAAAGGTGAGCCGGAAAGCATTGTGTTGTTGTTGTGCTCTTTTTTCTGTGTTCTTCCCCCCCCCCTTCTCCATTCATAGGGGTTGGTCGACACTACGGGCCGCGAGCCCGCGTCCTCGCGGTATGTCAGTAAACATGGAAAACAAACTCTCCCCCTCTCCCCCTCTCCCCATAAGGTCGCACTCTCACTACGACGTGTTCTCGACTTGAATCCGTACGAGGTCTTAAGTCGTTCTACGAGCTCCTAATCTGGCCCACTTCTGGTGATATATGCATCCAGGAAAGTGCTGAAGTGAGTGAAACGTCCTGAGGCACCAGAAACATTGCGGGTTTGATGGGGTTTTCTCGCCTCCTCTTTACCCCCTCCCCCCCGCGCTGACGCCGCCGCGGCCCCCCCCCCCCCCCCCCCCCCCCCCCCCCCCGGTCCCCTCTATCTATCTATCCAGAATAAGAAAATGACAATTTGAGTCCTATGCGGCGGCGGACCACTTGGTCCTGCAAGCTGGGTAATTCTT